GAGGCCAGCCTGGGCTACCAAGTGAGTTCCAGGAAAGGCACAAAGCTACACAGAGAAACCCTGTCTCAAAAAAACAAAAACAAAAACAAAAACAAAAAAAAAAAAAAGAGTTCAAGACCAGCTTGGGTTACATGAGACCCTGTCTTCAAACAAACAAACAAACAAACAAACAAAAACAAATAAACAAAATGATCCAAAAGTTAAACAGAGAATTACTATATAACCTAGCAATTACATTATTGGGTGTGGACCCAAGAGAATTGAAAACATCTAATCAAACAAATTGTGTTATAGACATTATCTGCACATCATCTACCCAATGAGATTCATATGTAAGAATGTTCACAGCAATGATGTGTTCACAACAGCCAAAGAGTGGGGCCTACCCAGATGTCCATCAGTGGATGAAGGGCTAAAATAATTCAACAATCAAAGAAAATGAAATATTGACTTACCATACAGATATGCCTCAAAAACATAAAAATGAAAGAAGCCAGATACAAAAAGTCATGTAGTATTTACTTTATTACATGAAATGTTCAGGATCCACAAATCCACAGAAATAGACTACAGGAGAGAGAACAGGAGTGCCTGGTTCCTAAGGGTAGAATGTCTTTGATGGCTGACCAAAGTGTTTTAGAATTAGACAGAGCTGTGATTGCACACCATTGGAAAAACACTATAGGGTACTGGAAGTATGTGTGCACTGATTTTTTTCCTTAGCTACATTTTATCTATTTTTAAAAAGCAGATTACTTGTGCTCCACTTTCAATTTTATTTTACTTTATTTATTAATACTGTGTGTGTAAGAGAGGGCAGGCTCCTGCATGCCACAGCACTTGTGTGGATGGATGTTTGCCTTCCTCCCTGGGTTCCAGGAATCCCACCCAGGTTGACATGCTTGCTTAGGAAAGGCTTTCCCCTGCTTTCCCGTCTTACTGGTTGAGTCCTATTTTCAGAGAGACGTATTTTCACTTGATATCTCTGGTATGAGGTCCAGGATGTGAAAGTTTTTGACAAGGAGCTCAAACTTTTGATAGATAGTCCAGGGAGAAGCATCATTAAACTACATTAAGCCTCCTATCTGCTCGTCATGAGGATACATATTGTAACCCTGGCATTCAGGAGGGAGGACCATGAGATTGAGCCCAGTCTAGGCTACATAGCAAAACCTTGCCACATGCAAACAAGCCAACCAACAAGCTCCTACCTCCCATCAACAGATACTTGAGCTTCTCTTTGCTAACACAAGTCATAATTATAAACTTTCTGCACCTCTTTCCGCCTGGACTGGCTGGTTTTATGCCAGCTTGACACAGACTAGAGTCATTTGGAAAGAAGGAACCTCAATGGAGAAAATGTCCTTATCAGATAGGCCTGCAGGCAACCTATGGAGCATATTCCTAGTGACAGGTGGGATGATTCAGCTCTTTGTCGGCAGTGCCAGCCCTGGGCCTATGGTCCTGAACAGTGTAAGAAAGCAGGCTGAAGTCAGGCATGGTGGCTCACACCTTTATTCCCAGCACTTGGGAGGCAGAGGCAGTTAGATAGATCTCTATGAGTTTGAGGCCAGCCTGGTTTATATAGTGAGTTTCAGGACAGCCAGAGCTGCATAGTAAGATCTGGTCTTGAAAAAAACATAAGAAAACAACAACAAACAAACAAACAAAATAAAAATAAAAAAGATCTGGGCAGTGGTGGCACATGCCTTTAATTCCAGCACTCGGGAAGCAGAGCCAGGCGGATCTCTGTGAGTTCGAGGCCAGCCTGGGCTAAGAATGAGTTCCAGGAAAGTCTCCAAAGCTACACAGAGAAACCCTGTCTCAAAAAACCAAAAATAAAATAAAATAAATAAAAAAGCAAGTCACCAGGAGCAAACCAGTAAGCAGCACTCCTCCATGGCCTCTGCATGAATTCTAGCCTCCTAGTTCCTGGCCTGACTTCTCTGAATGATGGACTACATGCTGTGATGAAATAAACCCTTCCCTTTCCCAAGTTGCTTTTGGTCATAGTGTTTTATCACAGCAACAGAAACCCTAACTAAAACATGCCCCTAAATTGTAAACTTCAATTTATGCCTTCCTTGTTTATCATAATAACCCCAGCATCTACAGTACCTTAAAAAAAAAAAAAAAAAAACATGAGCCCACCTCTCACGAGAAAAGGAAAAAAAAAAAAAAAAAAGGACACCTGGATATTGTATGGGGTCAGTAGACACAGGGTAAAAAGTTGTAGGGTATCCACCAGAGAAGATTGCTCACGCATGGATTTAAGCCAATAGAAAGTCTTTATTAGCTGGCCGGTAGCTACATTGAGTGCTCGAGATCCCAAATACTCAGTAGTCTTTCTCAGGGTGAGCACACACACACACACACACACACACACACACACACACACACACCCCAAAACAAAAAAAAAACCACTCATATATTTTGTGTTGACATACTTCAGTTAGCAAGAACAGCTAGCCAGAAGCAGAACTACAGAAGGCGAAAAGCAAGGTGAGTCCATTTAGAGACTTTCCCAGAACCGTGGGCTTTGATGGATTAGGTCTTTGTTTTCACTCTGGCGGGTGGTGCTGTCTGCGTGCTGCGTTTTATGGCCTGAATGGTACTTCCGACATGGCATCAGTTGTGTCTGGGGGCCCCTACAGAATTGAATAATGGAACTAAGTTAACTAGAACAAATTAGAGGAGAGTGAAAGAAATCCTAAAGGGTCAAGAGCATCCACAGTGTTGGTTGTGGGTTCAAGCTTTCAACATCTTGTCTCTGGTACTTTCACTGACCAGGGCGTGTGTCAACACACAGGGTGGAGGCAGGTGGTGCTGTGGTCTCACACATCCGTCCCCAAACTCAATCTGAAATTGGCCATTGTGCCGACCTTAAGGGGAAGACCTTCAAGAAAGGATAGAGCCGTGAGGGCTCCGACAGCGGGCTTATCCCTCTCTTTCTTGTCCTGTCTTTCTGTTTGGTGTGCTTGCAATGCCCCTCTGCCATGTTACAGTGCAGCAGGAAGGCCTTTGTCAAATATGGCTCCTTGATCTTGAGCTCTCTAGCCTCCAGTACCAGCAGCAGAACACGCTTCCGTTGTTTGTGGTCCCGTCTATGGCATCGTGTGGTGACATCACAGGGTAGACAGAGACACTGGGGAAAAGAGGCCGTTCCCAGTACCCCAAACCAGGCTCCGTCTGGGCAGCCCTATCTTGGAGCGTATGGCTGGCTTGGCCGGAGCAGTCTTGGCTCTGAGACCTTCAAAAGGCTTGTATCCAGAGGTGCACAGTTCTGCTGGCATCTCCTGGCTAGAAGGCTCTGGCCAGATTTCCCTGGCCTCCCCGGCTGATTCCAGTGCCTTTTGGCTGGGTGAGCACTCTTGGCCACTTCCACGGTGCCTTTAGAGCACGATCAGCAGAACGGCTTTCCTCACCATCAATGAGCTGGGCCTGGGCCAACCCACTGTCGCCTGGGCTGGCTTCTCAAGTCTCATCCACGCTGCCCAAAGCATGAGACAGCCAGGTGGGCTTAGGTGAGCCCTCCAGGGGTCTACTGGAACCTGAGACCTGGTCCCTTCCTATGAGTCCTGTGGAAGTTTCTCCTTTCAGCTCTTAGGCCTCTCGTCCAGAACCTCTGGAGTCAGCCAGTTTTCCTATCCCTTCCCTCCATGTCTTCTCTGGGGGCTTCAGAGTAATGTTTTCCAACTCTGCACTGGGTTAGTAGCTGTCCATTTCTCCACATCAGTAAACACCCCTACTCCCGTATATACGTACACACAAAAATAGGCAGTCAATGCTTTGGAGGAAAGGGCTTTCTTAATATTGCCAGTGACTGATTATGTGGCCTTCTCCACGGCTTCAAATCATTCCCTCACCATGAAAAACTCGTTTCCACTGACGGCCTACTACACTACTATTGGCTAGAGCTTTAAACCCATTGTCTCCCTCAGCGCACACACAACTTACCAGGTAAGTTATATCTAAACAACTTTATTGTGAAGTGTAACATGTCCAGAAGATACCCAAAATGTGCATATGAGCAGTTAACTAACCGTCCCCCATATCGCCATCTGGTTACACATATCGTAACTATTGCACATGTCTGTGATGGACGCTCTCCATCTTTTCTGTGTGTGATCTTGGGATCAAACTAGGGCCCCACTCATGTTAAGCAGGCACTCTACCACGGAGCTAAAGATCCAGAATCCCTGCATGTGTCCTTGCAGGTCAGAAGAGGGCACCAGATCTCATTACAGATGGCTGTGAGCCACCAAGTGGTTGCTGGGAACTGAACTCGGGACCTCCAGGAGAGCAGTCAGAGCTCTTAACCGCTGAGCCATCTCTCCAGCCCCTGTTTTTTGGATTTTTATGTGAGGTGCATGCTCTGTTTCAGCTATCTCAAGGACAAATAATGGATTGGATGAGTAGGCTTTAGTTCGCCAGTGAAGTCATGGTTTCAGCCTAGGTGGCTTTTGGGCAAAGTGAAGAGGAACAGTCTTTCATATGATCTCATTTTTCACTGAACACATTTTGAGTGTCCACTTCCTGGGCCGTTTGAAGCACACGAGCCAATATTGTGTGGTTTACTGTTCAAAGGGGTTCCAGAAAACAGCATGGATGGATGAAGGTTACAGATGTGTGCAAAGACTCAGCAAACACAGAACCAAATCCGCCTCAAATATCCAGGTGCATATGCCGAGCCAGGAGAGGTTCCCCCCAGAACATGGAGAGAAGGTTGGGCTGGGTGAGATATATGCATAGGGAAGCAGTGCCAACCCCCAAAAGATGGCACTGTAGTCTAGTGCTACACTTCAAGTGACCTCGGGTGTCGTAGAGCACTGTCCTCCTGGCACGGCATGGCTGTTGTCCAACTGTACTCTCAGCAGCTATGAGAACATGAGATTCACACAAGACTGGGCCCATTAACATCAGTAACAGAGGGAGGAGGGCTTCACACAGCTCTGGCCCTCCCCAAGCATAATACATAGGCAGGTGCTGGTTGCTGGGAGAGAGGCTTTTCTTTAGTGGTGTAGCTGCCCATAAGTTGAAAGCATTCCTGTACATAAACCATTACCCAGGCTCCTGATTAAACTCATTGGCTTACCAAGCTATACTTGGCTAAGATTGTTTCTTCAGTCTGTGGTTGGTGCCCTATCTGGGATGAACAGACATCTGTTCATCCTTCTCAGGAAAAGGCCACACAACATGGGAAACTCCATTCTCCTCAGAACTGACCTTCACAGCTATAGGACAAAGATAGGTCTTAAGGGGTGTGGTCTGTGTGGCTCTAACATTCAAATACTCCTATCCCATAATCTATAGGGCTTTTTTGGGAGAAGGGTGAGACAGCCTGGCTGTCCTGGAACGCTCTAGGTAGACCAGGCTGGCCTCAAACTCAGAGATCCACCTGCCTCTGCCTCTTGTGCACCACTACACCTGGCCTTAGGGGCTCTTAATGTCTCAAAGTATCCTCCACTAGAACAGGTGCCAGCAAAAGTGAAGTCTCCCTGCTTGTCAGAAAGGACAGTACGGATTAGGTGAGGGACCCAAGAGGATGACGTCTAGATTTCCCCCAAGTTTGATCCCATTTTTCCAAGTTCAGTGAATATTGTTCTCAATTAGCCATCCTTTTGAATTACTCACTTCTAGCCTTTTCTTCTGACTCATGGAAAAAAAAAAAGGCTCTGATATTTGCCAGGCAAATGGTTTAAGTTGAATTCTTGGGAGGAGCTGGAGTGGTCAGGTCTGTAGAGATGTGTGTTTGGGTGGAGATGAGTTGGACAATGCCCCAATTTGTTTCTGCATCGGTTTCCTTATCTGTAAAATATAACTTGTATCAAGGATGTAGTAATTATTCTTATTTTCTATGTAGGAAATCCAAAGCTCTAAAAAGTTAATTTGTTCAGGCATTCCCTCTGGAAACTCGTCAAGATTCAGGCTGATTCCCGAGTTGGAGTCTGTAATTGCTGATGGATCACTATTGGGGTGGAAGGGTAAAGGATGGAGGGGGAGATACACCATCATATTAATATTGATGTCCACTATTAGATGTTCCCTGGTACCCAATGTGTCAAAAGGAAACTGCATGTTAGTACGAAAGAAAAGGAGCGTAGTATTGAAGGTTAGCAGGAAACACAAGGAAGTCGGCCAGTCTACCCCCTCTTCTTCCCTTCCTCCCTCTCCCTGCCTCTGGAAGGCTCCAAGAGGCAGAATCGCCACGTTAGCGCAGGTCTGCAGGGCCCACCCCCATCGAGGACGCCCAGCACCCCCTCTGCAGGCCGCCACCGCATATCCCTGCCCCCCAGCAGCCTCGGCTTGGAAGAGGAAGGAGGACTGCAGCGGTTGCCACGCTTTATGCTTCTCCAGAGCTTCGAAGCAAGATTTCCCCAAAAAGCCATATTAAATAAATAAAAGGAAATTCAGCAGATGGGAACATGAATCAATGAAAACTCCCATATGAGTGCGAAGATTTATGTCAAAAAACAAAACATCAACATCTGGGAGCTGCCATCTCCTCTTGGTTGTTCGTTTGGAATGGATTCTTGGTGTCGTTTTCTCCATTATTCTGGCTGTGAGAGAAAGCAGGGGGAAAAAAAAAGAATAGAAAACCATTTTAAAATAGTCGCTTTAAATCAGAAACGAAAGCCCGCTTCCCACCCCACCCCCTACCCCCCCAGGACAGAGGGGATGTGATGCAGGCGACCGGGCTGTGGGCTGGCTCGGGGAGCCTGGGACCGAGAGCCCCCTGCCGGACGCCGCGGGGCGACCCCGCCACCGGACCGGGGCAGCTCGCGGCTGCAGCCCGCACAGCGGCGGCGACAGCGCGCGTGCACACGCACTAGCGTCCTCCGCACTGCGGTCGCGTCCCACGCGGGTGGAAGTCCAGGTTGGCGATTCTGTGACAGCTTCTCCAGGTCAAACCCGCAGCCAGGGAGCTCAAACCGGACCTGCTGGGGCCAGGGCTGCTAAGGAGTGCCGTGCGGTTGGTCGAGACGTTCATTTAGCTCTTTGGCTGGACCACCCAAGGGTTAGGAAAGAAGGTGCTGGGTCCTGATGTCTGGATTCAAATCCTAGCTACTGCAGCCCGCTGATCGCCTTTGAGCAGATTTACCTTCCCGAGGCAGCGTGGGAATAACAGTAACAGGCTCCTAGAGGACTGTGGGTGGTACACGACAAAAGCACACAAGGTGCTTAGCACAGTGTACATATACACAAAATTGAATAAGTGTGAGCTATTATCATTAGGACAGAGGCGCACATCTCTCATTGTGGATCTGCAGGATGTGTTTTTCCAGCTCCGCAGCCTTGTAGAGGTCTTGACCCATCCCATCGCTCGGCTACAGCTGCGCTAACCTTATCTTTTGCCCAACAGCCCTGTTCCCTTCTGCCTGAGGCCTTCTGTGGAAGGTTCTTTCTCATCTTCTGCTTCAATACAGCCTACCCTTCACATCACCCAGGAAACTCTTACTGCCTCCTCCCTCCCCCAAATGTGCTCTGTTCTAGCCTGGGCTTCTCCTTCCTTGCAAGGTTTCCTGGATGAAATGTACCCTTAACTTGGTTATATGCTTAATGTCCATAAATCTGGTATTTGCTCCATAATGTCAGTAGCCCAATCTATTGTGGTCCTTGCAGTATTCTTGGCCCCCAGGCCAAGCCTGTGACAATAGACTCTTGAAGTGCAGTAAATGACCAGAGTGGAAGGTGAGCCACTAAAGCCAGATGGAATTCTGAGGACAGAATGACTCCTCTCACACCCCACCCCCTTCTATCTCTCTCCTCCTCCCTCCCCCCTCCTCCCCCTCCTCTTCCTCCACCTCCTCTTCTTGAGACAGGGTCTCACTGTGTAAACCAGGCTAGCCTAGAATTTATAGAGAGCTGCCTGCCTCTGCCTCCAGAGTGCTGGAATGAAATGCACACACCACACCTGGCTTTTTTCTTCATTGTCTCCATGTATGTGCACCACGTGGGAGTCTGGTGGCCGTGCGGGCCAGAAGAATGTGTCAGATACCCTGGAGTTGTGAATCACTCTGTGGGAGCTTGGAACCAAATCCAGGTCTTCTGCAAAGGCAGCCCGTACTCCTAACTGCTGAGCCATCCCTCCAGTCTCCGTCTTCTGGGTCTTCTATACGGCCTCACCAATTCCTTCCAACAGTGAATTCACATTCCTCTTGTCAAATAGGCCAAGCCCTGTGCTGGGCACCAAGAACACAGACACATACAATGTTATCTTTGACCTAGTGGTGCTCTGGCCCACAGGCGGAGATGGACATGTGAACAGAGGGCAACACAGATGGGAGGGAGAGAGACAGCAGAGTGCTGAGGCAGGGGGCTAGCTGTTCCACAGGAACAGGGCAGGGACCGGAGAGACGCTTAGCAGCTGGGAGCACTGGCTGCTCTTCCGGCGGAATTCAATTCCCAGCATGCACATGGCAGCCCACCACTGTCCAGGAGATCTGACACCTTCACACCAACGTACATAAAGTAAATAAAATTTAAAAAGAAAGAGAGAAGGAACAAGAACAGGGCCCTCGGCTCCAGGAGGTAGAGGTGGACCAAGCTGAGTGCCTTCTCTGCATTATCATAGTAAAGCTCAGGGCCAGTATGAAGGTCTATCATTATCCCTGCTGCACAGATGAAGCATAACGGAGTTAAGTCGCCCAGGGCCACAAAGATAGTAATGGCAGCAGAGGGATTGAAATGGGCGGGTTCTGACTCAGAGCCAGAGCTGTGAACTACTTAGCCATGCTGCCTGGGAGCAAACAGCTGTGAGGCTGCTCCACCCCCAGTTCTGTGCCGCCGGTGGGAGTGGGAGCTGCAGTCCAGAGGCAGGGGAGCCACCACCCAGGAGCAGGCGGGGACAGCACGGTTGTTGGACCCGAGGAAGCCAGGCACCCCGCTCGCACATAGAGCCTAATGAGAAATGCTCTCAAGGGTGCAGAGAGGACCTGCGAGTGCTCAGCAGAATCGGGAGCACCTCTGGCTTCTGGCTGCCAGCCCTTGGGGAAGGCCCCAGTCTGAGCCTGGCACACTGCCCTGAGGGTGCTGCTCTCACCTCTCACCCCCTGCAAGCGCTGCAGATCTTGCTACATCTCTCAGCATCCCCAGCTTGTGAAAGGCTGGATTCGCATCCTCTATGCTGCGCTTCAACGGCAGCCACACCTAGATCCACAGGCTTTGGGAGCAGGGAGGACCTGCTTCGGGGTCTTCCGAGCTGAGGCCTGGCTCAAGCCAGACAGGGGTTTCTTCAAGGAGCTGATGAGACCACCTAGCTTTTTCAAGTTTCCCCAGCCCCCAGCACTCCGAAGCCTGCAGCCTCCTCCATATCTGGAATTTCTTTGTTTCCTTAAATCACATTTATTGTGTGAGTGTGCATGCCATAACACATGCGGCAAGGTCAGAAGGCAGCTTGTAGGAGGAGCTTCTCTCTTTCTACCTCGTGGGGCCCAGGGATAGAACCCTGCTTGTAAGGTTTGGTGGCCAGAGTTTTTACCTGCTGAGCCATCTTGCCAGCCTTTATTTCTTACTTTAAAAAGAATTTTTTTTTAGGGGCTGGAGAGATGGCTCCATGGTTGAGAGCACCAGCTGCTCTTCCAGAGGATCCAGATTCAATTCCCAACACCCACATATCAGCTCACAGCTGTCTGTAGCTCCAGTTCCAGGGGGTCCAAAGCCCTCACACAGATACACATGCAGGCAAAACACCAGTGTACATAAAATAAAAACAAATCATTAAAAAATTTTAAATAGATTTATTTTACATATATGAATATTTTGCCCCTATGTATGTCTATGTACCAGAGTGCTACGGATGGTTGTGAGCCACCAATGTGGGTGCTGGGAACAGAACCTGGGTCCTCTGGAGAAATGAGTGCTCTTAACTGCTGAGCCATCTTTCCAGCCCCCCTTCCCTCTTAAAATTAAGATAGAGTCTCATGTAGCCAGTCTAGCCTCGAATTTGCTCCATAGTGGAGGACAAGATGGAACTTGGGACCCTGCTGCCTCCACCTCCCAAGTGCTTGCGTCACAGGTATGAGTTTTATTCAATGCTATTCAGTTTTATTCAGTGCTGAGGAGTGAGCTCGGCTTTGTGCACGCGACCAAGCACTCTACCAGTAGAGCCACACGCCCAGCCTCAGGTACCTGGAGAACTCTGAGAGGTGGACCTGAGGTCGCAGCAGAACTTCTAACAGAAGTGGCTAGAAGGTGGGCTAGGACTGACAGGCAGGAAAGAGAACAATGACAAGACTGACCCTTGTCACCATTCACTGGGGCCTTTCGGTGTGCCAATCACTGTACTAAGGACCCCATTTCACAGAAACAAAGGCAGCGGAGGCAAGCTAACAAGGTAGGGACGTCTCAGGGGAAGCTGGACAGACACATTCAAGCACATGCTGCAAGAGGGTGATTTCTGCACGACCTGGGGATCAGCTAGGTGTGGGAGTGTCTGACACCTTAGGGGTGTCTGTACAGACCACAAGAAACCCATAAAGCAGTCTGTGGAGGGGCTCACTTGGTTGGCTCCTGAACCCACATTTTTTATCTTTCTTAGGCTCCGGCTGTTGGTACTCCTTAGATCCCCACCCCTACCCCTCCAGATTCTGATGCAACAGATGCTAGCTTCGGTGAGTTTTCAGTATTTTCAATGACAGTCTAAACTAACACGAGGAGGACTGAGAAGGGACTGAGCCAACCTGGAGTTCAAGGCTGCTTTCCTGGATCACTTGGAGAAACACAGACAGAAATAGGGAAGCGGGATGGTGAGTCTTTGTAGGTAAGATTGAAGGAGTAATGTGGCCAACCCAGTCAAATCCTCTGGGTCCAAATGTACCCTGGTGGCTAACAAGGTGGGCTCTGAGGGCCTAGTGCCCAGTGCAGCAGAAAGACAGATGCAAGTGGATGCCAAGGCTGAAGTCAGGGATTCCTACAGAAACAAGAGGCAGCATTCATGTTGAGAAATGTGGCAGTGGAGACAAAGAAACAGACTGATAACTGAAGAAGCAGGAGGACCAACTAAAAGACTTGATCAAGGAAAGGCCTGTGCATATTTCATAGGTAGAGGGTAAAGACTTAGTGAAGAGATGAATGCTTTGATATGAGGATCAGGATAATTACAGTGGCAAGGTTGTAGAAGAGACAGGAGAGGAGTGGGACTAAGAACAAACAGTTGGGCTTAGAACAAAGGAGAAGCTCAAACTTCTCCAACTGAGTCTGGGTTCTTGTCATGTCCCCCAAGTCACAACTGTGCCCTCTATTTATTTGTATGGTGTGTGACTAATGTCCAAGTATGTTCACAGTGGCTCTCAAGTTCTCTTCCTCCTCCTTCATCATCATCACATGTAGTCCCCACTCATTGATTGTAATCATCACCATCACATGTAGTCCCCACTCACTGATCACCATCATCGTCACCGTCATATGTAGTCCCCACTATTGATGGTCATCATCATCATCACCATCATATGTAGTCCCCACTCATTGATGGTCATCATCATCATCACCGTCACATGGAGTCCCCACTCATTGATCGTCATCATCATCATCACCATCACATGCAGTCCCCACTCATTGATCATCATCATCACCGTCACATGGAGTCCCCACTCATTGTGTTTTCTCATAAGGGTACTACCTTCCTTAGTCCCATGATGCAGATAAGAGAACTGAGGGAAAAGATAATTAACCTGTCCAAGATAAGCAGGCAGTCAGTGGGAGCACTGTGTTGATGTCACACAACTCCTGCTCTTCTGCGCTGCTTCCTGACACTTCAAAGAGTTGAAAATGGCCGCCCCCAGGGAGCCGGACTGGAGGGTAGAGAGCATGTAGCAGAGGTCTGCTGCATTTTGATATAACCCTTTAGTACTATTTGACTTTTTACTAGAGTAGAAACTCTTTTAACGACCTTCTTTGCCCTCTTCTACATTACCTTTTCATTGGTAATGAAAAGATAATTTCAATTTCATATATCTTTTTATCTGAGAGGTCAATGGCATGCTCCTTGCTCCTTGCCAGCAGGTTCTTCCTCAGCACACTTCACACCCAAGTATAAATTGTTTAACCACCTGACCAACCCCATGTCCAGGTTCCTACCAGGCAGCAGGTTTCTGACAAAATGTTCTTTTAAAAATAAATGAAACAAAACAAAACATTTGTAAAAAGGAGTTTGCATTTAAAAAAAAAAATCCACCTAGTAAAAAGCAAAAAGAACTAATACCAATGTTGAGGTAATGACTCAGCCTTCTCAGTGACAAATGTGAGGTTGCTGGCTGAGAAAAGACAGGGTAACAATGAGGACTTGACCTCTTTCCTGGACCCAATCTATCCCACACAACAGCTACATGGGCACGCTTGCACATGTGTGCACACACACACACATGCACGCACGCACGCATGCACATGCGCGCACGCACACAGTCCCTAGTCCTTACCATTCTTTTTTTTTTTTTTTTTTTGAGATAGGGTCTCATGCCTCCTAAGCTGACCTCCAATCTGCTATGTATCTGAAATTGACCTTGAATTTCTGATCCTCTTGATTCCAATTCCCTAGGGCTGGGACTACAGGCATGTGCCACCATGCCTTGTTTATGAAGTCCTGGGGGAACTGAGCACGGGTCTTAATGCATTCTAGGCAAGCACTCCCCCAACTGAGCTACACTCCCTCACCCCAGCTATATCTCTGGCCCTTCTTCATTCAGTTTTGAAAGAAGTCAACCCATGGAGACTGGATACATAGTTTAGTGGGTAAGAGAGTTTACTGTGCTGGCATGAGGACCTGAGTTCAGACCTCCAGCACCCATGGAAATAGCTGTGCATGGCTATGCATGCACGTAACAATTCCAACGTGGGGATGGTGACAGAGACAAGCAGATCCTGCTTGCTTGCTGGCCAGCCAGTCTACCCAAACGGGAAGCTTCTGGGTTAGTGAAAGACCCTGTCTTACAGGAATAAGGTAGAGTGTGATAAAGGAAGACACTCCATGTCCTTCTATGGCCTCTGTGTGCATCTGCCTGGGAACGCATACCCACCTGCATGCATACATACAGTAGGAGGAGCAGGAAGAGAAGAGAAGAAAGTAGGAAAAGAAGAAAAAAAGAGGAGGAAAAGGAAGAGGAGGAGGAGAGCTGTTATTGTAGTCACTGTCATCCTATATGGAGCTCCTGCACAGTCCCTTCTGTAGATCCTGCGAGTCTCCGAAGAACCACACTTTCCCAGTCACGCTCTGGGGTCTCCCCTTCCACACTAATTTGGGGCTGGCCTCCCAACTTGCTTTAACCAACAGAGCGCAGAAGGGAAACAGTGCAGGTCCCGGGCCTCATTTTTGAGGGGTCTGCCAGGTCTGCTCTTGACACTCTGAGCCACTGGGTAAGAAGCTCAGCTGCCCAGATGGGGAGGCCGAGTGGAGTCGAGAGGCCCTGAGACTACATGAAGAAGACGCCCAGCCTTTCTGTGGCCCCAGTTGTCTTCATATGACTTCTGTTCCAGCTGCCATCTAACTACAACCTCATGAGAGACTTCAAGTGACAGCAGTCCAGCTGAGTCCCACCCATTTACTGCACCAAAGGAAATAATGACAGTTTTAAGCCACCAAGATCTGGAGTGTTTGTTATGCTGCAATAAATAACTAAATGCCATTCTGTATTTTAATTGCCTACTGGCTTTGTTCGCCCTACTACATCACTTCCTCAGTGAGGGCAGGGTTTTGTTACAATTTTTCTTGATTCTTGGGAATTTCATACATATATAACAATGAAATATGATTGCATACACTTATACATACACACCCCCACTTCCCTCTCCAACTTCCTCTGGATCTCTCCAACACATCTCCTTCTCAACTTCAAATCTTCCTTTTCCTTTGATGGCACATAGAGTTATATCAGCTGTCCATATGTGCGTGGATGTGGGGCCATCCCCTGGAGCATGGGAAACCCACCCACCAGCAGCCACATCCTCAAACAACAAATTTCCCTCTCCCAGAAGATATCAACTGCCAATGGCTCCTCAAATACGGGGTGGGGCCTGGAAAGCACCTCTCAACAGTATCAGAATTGTAGCTGGCTTGATTTTGTGCAGGGAACCACAGCTACCATGAGTTCACGAGTGAGAGCCATGGCATGTCCTGAAGACAGCTTTCACAGCACCCCTCCTCATCCTCTCGCTCTTACATTCTGCCTCCTCTTCAAAAGTCTTCCTTAAGTCTTGGAGGTTGGAAGATGATCATTATTTAGGGCTGAGCGCTCAGTCACTTCTCAGCTCTTGGGTCCGTTTTTATCTCTGTATTGACTGCTGCCCACTGCAAAAGCAAGCTGCTTTGACCTGTTTTGCTGTTTTGAGTCAGGATCTCCTAGGCTGCCTATATCACACTATGTAGACTATGCTGCCCTCAAACTCATGACAATCCTCCTCCCTCAGCCTCCTGAGTATTGGGATTATAGGCATATGCCACTATACTGGGCCACATCCATTTTTTAAAAAAGTTGTTAAGTACTCCAGGCATTCTCTAACACTGAATAAACTCTCATAAACTTGATTAGTATAAATTTAAAATGTCTCCAAAAATAAAGGCAACAACAAATGTCTACACTACTCCTGTTGTAAGAACAGAATAGCTTGAATACACATCACAAGAAGTGATTTACTAGGTACCTAGACAATAGGTTCTTAATGAAAACAGCTGGCCTTTGTAAAAGGATTGAATCAACTTGACTTTGGGCCATAATCCAAAAACAGACTGTGAGAGCAAAGAAGAAATGGCTGATGGCTTCAGGCCTTGGCATTTCTAGTAGAGACAAAAGTCAGTGTCGTCCCAACAGTGTCACCGTGGTTTGCACTGACAACAGAATGGATGTGAGGGTTCCAGTTACCTCCACACTTCTTCTCATTCAAGTCGTCTCTTGATATTCCCAAGATTCTGGGGGGAAAATGTTCCTTCTTTCCTCTTCCTCCTTGACAGTGTCTTATTAGGCATCTGATTGGTCCTGAACTCACGATCCATTGGCTTCAATCAACCACCTGCTGGGATGATGGGTGTGTGCCACCACCCCTGGCTATAATGCCATTTTGTGTATGGGGGCAGATACCTTAGTCTCTCTTTCAAACCCCTTTAACTAACTTCAAACAGGCCAGGACCTCAATGAACGTACATGGAATGAACACATTTTTGCTCAAATCAGTCATCCCATGATAAGGGTCTGGTGCTTTTGGCTGTGTGCAGTTAAGAGACGTTGTGGAAATATATTTTGTGGGCTGACAGTGTGTGTTAAGCCCCATGTGGGACACAAAATGGGAAGATGCCACCCCTCCCTTGAGGGAAGGAACCGGGTACGCTTACACAGACGAGATAATTAAATAACAGGACAACATATAATCACTGCTAAACTGTGCAGTAAAAATTAAGCACTACGGGGACTGGGAAAAGCAGAGAAGTAAGTGGCGAGGGCTCCACCAGTTAGGGAGTCTTCACTGCGGCCCTGAGATCAGGCTGAGCCTTGAGGAAGAAAGCCAACTACAGACAGGCTGAGAGGAGAGAGGGCCCAGAAGTCCCCGGAGGAACAGAGCCAAGCCAGCACCCTTGAGGTTTTATTTCAGGCAGCACATGGGCTATGAAAGGTGGCTGTCCCTGATCCCCACGCAAGAACATTTCTGAACAGTTCCCCGTACTCAGGCTCCTGGACCTTATGTGGTTTCCTCTGCTTGCAATGCTCTTCCCCTTCTCATCTGACAAACTTACTTGTGTTTAAGGGCCCAACTCAAAATGCAAACCACATGGATGAATCCTTCCATGATATATCCCCTACCCACTGCTCATGCTTCTGTGAAAATATAATTTACAGTTCCCTGCTTACCTCCTCCACTACTATAATTAATACTAATTTATATTTCTTGTACCAGAACCTATGCTAAACACATATGTTGTTTTGAATCTCACAATCACATGAGGTATTGTTTTCCCTATTTTACAGACAACAGGCCAAGTGTGCTTAAGAACCCTGCAAAGGGGTGGTAGTAGCACAGGCCTTTAATC